GTAGAGTAGTTACTTTGCAGTATGCATGATGGGCCTGTTTAAACCTTTCATTCTACTTTGGTTTTCTCTTAGACTGTTGAAGTCTCTTAAAATAGCAGTAATGATGTGGCACTGATCTTTTACTTCCGACTAGTTCAAGGACATTCATCCGCTCGTCGTAAGGAAAACATGCATGTGACTATAAGTTTTCAGTAAAGATATGTAACTTCATGTACATCTCTGTTGAAGATCTTTGTCTTGATCACATAACCAAAACAAATAAAAACCTGAAGTTCACGTAATCCTCTTGGATATCGCACCTGATTTCCTGCTGTTTATCACTGGTTTCTAGGGGTTGTTATTGGTGATGTCCAGATATTAACCATTCTACACTGTAGTACTTGTTGGAAAGCCAAATAATGAACCTTAATGGACCAAGCTGACACTATTATGTAGTCAGTACCATACCTCACTCAAGATCCATTAAGCTGACACTATTACAGTCAGTACCATACATCACTCAAGATCCTCTGTCCCGCTGTTTTGCATCGTAAGCTTAGTTCTGATAGTTTATATAAGCAGTTGCAATAGTTTATATAAGCAGTTGCAATATTCTTTTATCCTAAGCCGAGGGTATACCGCAAACAACCTCTGTGCCTTCTTAAAGGTAGGGGTAAGGTCTGCATATCCTCCCCACTTGTGGGATTACATTTGGTTTGTTGTTGTTGTTTGTTGTAGTTGCAATATTCTTTTATATATATTCTCAGTGTCATTGTGCCCTACGGTATGAGGTGCTTGAGACTTCTATTCAACCTGGAAGAAAAAAGGACAGTAAACGAAACGAAAAGACAAAAAAGAGGTATCTTAGATGCTTTGGTATGACTGCAGTGAAGGGGTTTGCATGGGCATAAAGAGAGTGGAAATTACAGTTTAAGTTGTTTTTGATTCTGGTGCCTCTTTAAGAGCTTGGTAACTGGTTTTCTTCGTAGGATAAAAATGAAACACTTACAGTAGACGGCTTGAAGGGTATCAAAGAGTATGAAATAAAGAACCCACTTTAGCACTTAAGCTCTCATCCTTTACTGCATTGGTGTTAAACTAGAAAGCCTATGACTAATTGGGGATATTGCTTCCTTAACTCGGTTGACTATGTTGACATTTTTTTGGAGATTTCAATAGTTAATACTATTCCCATTATTAGAAGTTTTAGTCTCATGCTCTCTCCTTTTATTGTTAATTTGGCAGATCTACACTCAATTGGTGGATTGGTGCCTCTTCTTGGTTACTTAAAGAACTCCCATGCTAACATTAGAGCCAAAGCGGCAGAAGTAGTAAGTACAATTGTTCAGAACAACCCGAAGAGCCAACAACTTGTAATGGAAGCTAACGGCCTAGAACCTCTTCTCTCAAATTTCACCTCGGATCCTGATGTAACTGCCCGCACTAAAGCTCTTGGTGCAATCTCATGTGGGTACTTCTACTGTTGACAAATGATTCATTAGTAAATTGAGTCCTTTACTTTTAGTTGACATGTCATCTGTGTTCCAATAGCACTTACCAATTAGCACTACATTTTTCCCTTTATTCCAGCTTTAATCAGGCACAACAAGCCTGGCATTGCTGCATTTCGTCTTGCAAATGGTTATGCAGCGTTAAGAGACGCTTTGAGTTCTGAGAGTGAGAGATTTCAAAGGTATGATTTTGCACATGTCATGTTCCTGATGTTTCTGATCAACCAGGATTGGATAAAGTTGCGGTTTACTTTTTGGTAAAGCTTCCTCTTTTATATTCTCTCTGATAGGTGTTGTTTCTTTTTTTTTTTCTTTCAGGAAAGCCCTTAACTTGATCCACTATTTACTGAATGAGAATCGTTCAGATTGTGCTGTAGTGACTGAGCTAGGATTTCCTCGAATTTTTATGCATCTCGCCTCCAGTGAGGATGGAGAGGTGCGAGAGGGTGCCCTACGAGGCCTTCTTGATCTTGGGGGAGACAGGACAGCACAGGCAGCGGATGGCTCTTCAAGTGAAGATGATGAAAAACTCAAGCAAATACTCCAGGAGCGAATTAAGGGGATTTCCGCTATGTCTCCTGAAGATCGTGGTGCTGCTAAAGAAGAGCGGCAGCTTGTGGATTCCCTCTGGAATACCTGCTACAATGAGCCTTCTTCTCTTAGAGAACAAGGCCTAGTTGTTCTCCCCGGAGAGGATGATGCATTACCGCCTGATGTTGCTAGTAAGCATTTTGAACCACCTCTGAGAGCTTGGGCTGCAAATAGGAATGAGGATACGAAGCCAACTAGTGAAAAGAAACAGGCCCCATTATTGCTAGGCCTAGGTCCACATCCTGCACAGGATCCTCCCGCCTAAAATAGCTCCAGTTGAGCCATGGCTGGGGAAGAAAATAGAGATGCTTCTGCATGACGTATGGCGTTTAGGCACTATGAGGTTCTTTGTCTGAACATATCTTGTGATATTACATGTTAGATGTCTAATGTTTTCTGGATAATATATCGTCCTTCCCTCTCCACAGTGTCACCCCTTTCAATTTTCTTCTTTTAATTCGCTGTTTTACTAAAATCTTCTGCACATAATATGCTGTTTTTTGTTACAGCACATTTAGAGCATCAATTGTTGGATGTATTTTTATTTTTGGTAAATTTTATCACCATGTGGGAATTTCAACTAGTACTAATATTGCTGTTCATTTGGTACTAAGTTTTTCATTGAGACTAAGTCGATTACATAAGTTTGGTCAAGAAAGTTCCTTTAGATATCTGCTTCCATCCACTCCTAAGGTACAAAAACTTGTATATATATTTTCAAATTCTCCTCAGTCCTCATTTAGGAGGGCAGAAAATGATGACATACCTTGAAGCTCTACATTTGTATAGGCTAGAAGACTCGTCAAATGCATAACTATAAGCCTTGGGGCAGATGGCCTTAAAAAGATGAGCAAAAATAGTTGGCTTGCAAGTTTTGGGATTTGCAAACTGTCCTGTGCAACAATACTTGGCTGATTGTGTAGCCAAGCAAGCACTCTTGCACCCTACCACTTTTCCACCAACTTTCACTTCCAGTGCTGATGGACAACATATATTCAGATCAACGTCACACTCCGCCACGCCACAACCTATTCCTCCACCCACAGGTCTCATTGAAACTGGCACGTTGAAGCCATCGACTAAGCTCGCATCGTAGAAATGCAAGGGCGAAGTCATTTTAACTGGCCATCAAAGTCGCCAGTATCACACGAGCCGTTGCCATTTCTATCGAAATGGCAACTCTGTCTGGCCCATATCCTACCCAGCCACTTCTTAGGCACATCGAAGACTACTTCCTCACCACTTATCATATGAAAGCCACCATCTTTAGGAGTCATATGTCCTGTATTGCCAAGAATTCCAGGCCATATGCTTCTTCTGCAGTTGTTAACTAGAATAAGTTGTGTTCCATCTGCAGCCACATGACAAAAAGTAATATAAGTCGAGAAAATATTATGCATGCAGACTTGAAAATATATACGGAAAAGGGTCAGACCTGCCCCTAACGTATCAACTCCAGTCTAAAAATGCCTTCCGTTAACCTATTTTGCAAATAATGACCCTACCGTTAAAAATCTGGCATACTTGTGCCCTTAATTCTAACGGATGAGTTGTAATATATTTAAACATATTAATAATTTCACGTGGCCGTATCTGATTGGTTATTCATTAAACCATCCCCAAACCTGATTTTACCCACCCATAACCCAAATGTACCGACCCGACCCAGCAAACCATGTTTTACCCCTCCAAATCACACGACCTTAGGTCATTTTCGCCCACTTCATCTTCTCTAAGCAAAAAGGGCGAAATGGTCGGTGATTTTGGAGCTTGACTTCTTGGGATTTTCTGCGACAATTTTTTACTTAAGTTGACGGATTGAAGTTGCTTATTAAAGTTAAAGTCTTCTCTCCATTCAAGTAAGACTTTATTGCTGATCTTTGCTTAGGGTTTCTTGAAATAAACACAAATCATGTTTGATATTCTGTGATGTTTCAGTTTTGGCTTCAATGTTAGCAGATGTCTTTATAGTATTTTTTTGTTGCATGTGGTCCCGCTTAGATTTTGGTAACATCTGCTTAATTTATTCGTATGGGGTTGTCTTTTTTTTGTCGATTTCAGTTGTTTATTCAAAGCTTTTATCTTTGTTTACTAAATTTTCAATTGCATGTGGTCCCTTTCCTTTTTGTGTTGGTCTGGACTTAGGGGTTCAATTATTGTTGATGCCTGATTTCTTTATTCATATGGGGTCTACTTGTTTGTTGATTTCAGTTGTTTATTCACTGTTTTTGCTTTTGTTTACTTTTATTTGGCTGTATTTAATCTTTGTCCCTTTATTGGTAGGGGCCCTCTTTAACTCCCTGTCCCTTTATTGGTAGAAGTCCTCTTTAACTTTTCTGTTTGTTTATGACTGATGGGTCCTTTTTCTTGTTTTTTTATGGCTTGCATTTGTTTTCTTTGAAGAATGATTGAGAAGGTTTATTTGGTCTTTAATCATGGGGGTAAGTGGTTGTTGGAACCTCAAGTGGTGTATCTTAAAAGAAGGAAGCATGTATTGATAGGTTATGATGTGGATTTGTTGTCTTATATAGACATTTGTTCTAAATATACTGAGAAGTTAGGTTTTAGTGAGGTGAAACAATTACTAGTAACATGCCCTTCTAGTAAGTGCTTTTTAATTGAGGGTGATGTAGGCATTAGAATACTACAGTCTTTACTGTCAAACCAATTCAATGAGATTCAAATATTTGCTGTAGATGAGGGTGAATTACATGTGCCAGCTCCTAGCATCACTCAACATGATGAACCTTATAATTTCACAGTAGGAGTAGATGTTGGAACTGATTGTGATTCATGTGATGAGGAGGAAATGAAACTAACTCTAGTGATTATGATAGTGAAGAGTTAGAGCTGTTTAGAAGAGAAAGGAACAAAGAAGTTAATGACACACTTGACAAGTATAAAATCTTGGAGAAGGGTATGAGTTTTAAAGACTTGGCTGAAGCTAAAAGAGTTGTAGGGTACTATGCAGTTGCTAATAGGAAGGGCCTTAAAGTCAAGAAGAGTGACAAAAGTAGAGTTAGGTACAAATTTGATATTGGATGTCCTTTTGTGTGTTTTATATCCAAGGATAATAGAGATCAAGGATTTAAGATTAAGACTTTGAACACAAATCATGATTGTGGTCCAGCATTTCAGAATAGAAGAGCTACTCCCAATGCTTTAGCCCATTATTTCAAGAACAAAGTTCAAAATAATCCTAAGTACAAAGTCAAAGATATGAGGGTGGACTTGGAGGATAGATTCAGACTTAATGTTAGTTATTCAAAGATGAAGAGGGTTAAGAGAATGGTCTTAGAGAAGTTGGAGGGTGGCTACATTGATGACTATAATAGGTTAGAGGCCTATGCTCAAGAGTTGAGGGAATTTAACCCCGGTACAGATGTGGTTATAAACATATCAAAAGATGCTTTGGAAGAGGGAAATAGGAGATTTCTTAGAATGTATATATGCTTCCAAGCTTTGAAAAGTGGATGGAAAGCAGGTTTGAGGCCTCTAATAGGTCTGGATGGCACATTTCTAAAAGGAAAATGCAAAGGAATTTTGCCGGTAGCAATGGCACAAGATTCTGCCAAACACTTTTATCCACTTGCTTGGGTAGTGGTTACTAGAGAAACATGTAGAATTTGGAAGTGGTTTCTGGGGCTGTTGAGAACTTCCTTAGAGTTGGGAGATGGTGAAGGAGTGACATTCATTTCAGACATGCAAAAGGTAATATCATTAACAAATCACAGTTAGCTTTTTCACTGTTTTTTTACTTTAAGACCTAAATGCCTTCTTTGTTTGTTCTAATTGTTGCAGGGTTTGATTGATGCCATTGCAACTTTGGTTCCTAAATGAGATCATAGATGGTGTGTTAGGCACATAGAAGCTAACTGGAGCAAGAACTGGAGGGGTGTAGAAATGAAAAAGTTATTGTGGTGGTGTGCTTGGAGCTCTTATGAAGAAGAGTTCAAGGATCAATTGAGGACCCTAGGGACTATTTCTGAACAAGCTGCTAAAGATGCAGGATCTTCTCAAGAAGTACAAGATGTGCCCTTGACAGCACCCCAAGATAGTCAAACATCAGAATTTATTTTTGTTCCTACACCTGGTATGAGGCCAATGACAGCAACCCATACTCAAAGTGAAACAGCTGCAGAACCAGCAACAATGCCAACAGCAACAGCTGCACCAACAACAGCAGCACCAGCAGCTATGGCAACAGCACCAGCTGCACCAACAACAGCAGCACCAGCAACTATGGCAACAGCAACAGCTGCACCAGCAATAGCAGAACTAGCACCATCAGTTGTTCTGGATGGTGACTATGACTGTGAAGATGGGGATGCAATCTCTGAAGATGATGCTGAACAACCAGTTTTGAGACCTAAGGTGATATCTGAAGCTAAGACTAGGCTTCAAAAGAAAAAGTTGAGGCAAATGCCAACTGGTACAAGGAAGATTGCATTCAAGGGTGATGAATCTAGTGCCAATCTCCCTACAAACTTGCCATATTCACCAAGGAAAGTCACTTGGAAAGGCAAAGCAGCAATGACATCAAGACAATTGTTGGCAGAAAAGGAGAAAAAAGTTGGTAAATTGAAGGCTAAGAAGATCAAGCTCTAGGGACTTCAATTGTGTTTGAATGACAAATTTTAACTTAGGAAACGAAATTATATTTTTGTGATGACTGATTCATAACTAATTATGTATTGTTTTTGTGGTGAATCAGTTGTGGAAGTTGTATTGATTCACCCCAAAAATCTTTTGTTGGGCTTATATTAGGGTGAAAGTTGTATTGTTAAGTATTTTGTTGGCTATATATAACTATGCCTTGTTATTAGGGTGAAAGTTGTATTGTTAAGTATTTTGTTGGATTCGGTTGTGGAAGTTGTATTGTTAAGTATTTTGTTGGCTATATATAACTATGCCTTGTTATCTATTGATGATCTTGTTATCTATTGGTAGCTGTTGGTAGCTTTTCCGTTTAACCTATTGCTGATCTAACCTATTGATGGCATTTAACCTATTGATTATCTATTGATGATTACTAATTATCGAATATGCATAACATACTGTTGGTAGCTGTGGCAGTACTTTAGTTCAATGACCATAACATACCAATGAAAAGCGAAATGAAAACTAGAAATTCATTCAAAATGGAAATACATAAAAGCAAACTGCAATTTCTATTCATTAAACAACAAAGACAACTACAAATTTAACCTAACTAAAAGCAGCAAATTCCATTCATTAAACAACTATGCCAACAATCTACAAGCTGCAATTTGGTAAGCCATAACTTCTCTACATAATTCAACAGATTTAGAACTGGTAGAAGGACCAACAGTTTCCTATGGTCACCATATTTGGACACTACTAACCAAAACACAACTTCTCTACATCATTTTGTAAGCCACAAATATAACAAAAACAGCCCATGACCATATTATAAACTTTTTTCATTGCTTCAATTTCAACTCCAAATTTGAAACTTTCTCCTCCAATGCAGATACATTATTCAAATTTCCAGCTTTACTACCCACCATATCATCGACCATCTTCCTAAACTTATTCCTTTCTTGGCGAAGAGCATCCACTGTAATTTTTTGCTTGTGGATAAACATTGATACATGAGGTGAAAGTTCTTCATCGCGCCATTCCCAATAACGACAACCATTACTCTCGTAACGAGGACATTTATAGAATCTACGACCACCATTCATAGGTGTCGTAGCAGTAAATTGATTGGCTACCAGTCCGCAATAACAAACACGAGCATCACCTACATCACGAGAAGAAATAGAAGAAGATTCTGCCATTTGAAGCTTAAACATAAACGAACTCCAATTTATCAAAGAAGTTAAAAGAGAGGAGAGAAGCTGCTGAAATTTTAGAGATGAAATGGGTGAAAATGACCTAAGGTCGTGTGATTTGGGGGGGGGGGGGTAAAACATGGTTTGCTGGGTCGGATCGGTACATTTGGGTTATGGGTGGGTAAAAATCAGGTTTGGGGCATGGTTTAATGAATAACCAATTAGATACGGCCACGTGGAATTATTAATATATTTAAATATATTATAACTCATCCGTTAGAATTAAGGGCACAAGTATGCCAGATTTTTAACGGTAGGGTCATTATTTGCAAAATAGGTTAACGGAGGCCATTTTTAGACTGGAGTTGATACGTTAGGGCAGGTCTGACCCTTTTCCGAAATATATATATATAAGATTTCAAAAATCTAAGCAAAAAAGGACCTTTTTCTATGGGTATGGTTGAAATTTATTGAAAACATATAGATGAATCAATATACAAATTTTGAGAAAGATTGGAGGTGATTTGGACTGATTTGATATCAAAATTCGTAGTTAAAATCAAGTTCAAAAATTCTTCTGCGACACATGTCTCACGCATGTATCACACACACATATATATATATGGATATAAAGGTGATACACATTTGATACAAATATGATACATATGTGATACACATTATTTTTTTTCTATGTTTCATCTTCTACTTCGAATTTTCAATTCAAACCACCTCAAAACTCCACCAATTCATCCCAAAACTGAGATTCAAACTCCTTAAGATGTACCCAATCTATTCTAATAACACCCACTTGAAAGAAAGCAAAAAATTAATCTTTTTTTTTTACTACAAGTAGCTAATTGGCTAATATTGATAACATTTGACTAATATTAGTAATATTTAATGAATTTATCATTTTTTGTAATAAGCTACTTATAATGGACATAAGTGGTTTGAAAAAAAGCACATGTAATTTAAATATATTGGCAACTATTATCAATTCAAAATTCATTCATAAAAGCGTGGGCCATCATCCAACTAAATAAAATTGGCCCAAAATGAAACATCGATGGGCTTAAATTTTTGATAGTCTACCCAAGGAAGGCCCATTTTATATTCCAGATCCATTCGAAAAAGGTCCATTCTTTTTGTCTAGATAGTTCGCGTACATTGGTTGGAGAAAGTCTTTCAAACCCCTCAAAAAAATCCTTGAACCTTCATCGTCTACCGCCTCTTTGTGTCTGCATACCCACCTCTATCAATGGCGGCTCTATAAAGTTTGTGGCCTAAAGCGAAATTTAATAAAAGACCTTATACTTTTTATTAGTATATATGCACACATGACACATTTTTACAAAAAAAAAGATAGTGTTGCCATTTTTTCATACTTGTTATTTATAGTATAACATGCTTAAATGATGAAACCTTTAACTTCACATAGTAGTATTATCATTTATATTAGTAAGAGGTAACTTAAATAAATTGGATGTAAGACATGTATTTTCAATATGTTACCTTTGATTTTGTTGTAAAAAATATATTTACTAATATGAAGATCTAAGTAATTTAATTCAAAGTTCTAAAATATTTTTAGTGTTAAAGAGTAGATAGTCTTCCTTTCTGTCTTTCTTTTGTCCAAGGTTTATTGTATTTTTTTTTTTTTTTGCAAACTTTAATATTGTCTAACTTGAAATAAAATCATAAAATCCATTATTAAAAAATTTTGGGGACCTAAATTAAAGCTTTACTAGTCTACTAATCGAGCCACATGTCCATCCCTCTGCTATTCTCAATCAAATTTTATATAGTCTCAATTAAGATAAGATAACAATTAGTGAATGTGTTATTTAGTTACCAAATGTGAATGGAGCTGTTGAATAACACATTCATGGGCAGTGGTCTATAAATAATTGTTGATCATTAATGAGGGCGGCTCAACGGAACAGGTGTCTTAAAACTAAAATATATTAACAGATCCTGAAATTTCTTTCATAATATCCATATAATATTGAGACAAAAAAAGTGGTGAGAGAACAACGTATAATATGTGGGTTAGGCGTAAGTCATATGGTATTGAACTCCCTGTAAAAAAAAATATAGCATTAAATGAAAATGGTAAAAGGATTGAGCCTAGTATCGATCGTGTTTTGAACCTTACGATAATTGTCTTTGGGATTTCTTAGTTAAAAAAAATGAGACACAAAAGAACTTGATTACTGATATGAGTAGGGGTGCTCATGGTTCGGTTTGGATCGGTTTTTCCCGAAAAAGAAACCAAACCAAGTAAGTCGGTTTTTCAAATATTAAAACCAAACCAAACCAATTAAGTTGGTTTTTTCTCGATTCGGTTTATGTCGGATTTTGTCGGTTTTTTGGTTTTTTCGGTTATTTGTCGGTTTTTTTCTTAAATATACGATATACACTACCAAACACATATTTCGACGGCCACATTTTCAACGTAACACTATCAAATCCATTGCCCTTTTAGAAATCTATTGTTTATCAAGATATATTGATGATAATTGAATTAAATAGTGATGAATAATTTAAGGACTCAATTAAAAATATATTATTTTTAACACGAAATGGATTCTTACACTTAACAAAAGAAAACTACCAATCAAATTAGAATGTAAAGTTAAAGAACTATACTAAAAGTGCAAACTATTAATATTTACCATAAAATTTTTGAAACTTTGTATAAAAATATACATATATATAGGTGTAATAATAAATTTGAAATAGCTACTCCTATAGTCGGTTTGGTTCGGGTTTTTTTTCGGTTTTTTTCTGATTAAAACCATAACCAAACCAAATTTGATCGGTTTTTAAAATTCAAAACCAAAACCAAACCAAACCAAACCAAACCAAAAAGTATCGGTTTTTTTTGGTCGGTTTGGTTTGGTTTTCGGTTTGGTTCGGTTTTTCGGGTTTTTATGAACACCCCTAGATATGAGGATCTATCAAATGTGACAAAAAGGAATAGCTAATTTAGAGAATATGATTTTAAATTAGAAAGTAAAATAGTAAAAAATATAAAAAAAA